GTACAGTGCGAAGTATTATAAAACGCAAATTTTTGTTGCATCCCTTATGAACTTACATGTGCTACCTTTGCGCCATCCTGATCGGACAGAGAACATGAATAGCATCTGGGTACGACATGACAATATATAGTCTTCAATTTAACTCTTATTTCAATACTTTCTAATAAAACTCATTTTCAAATCTCAACCAAATTATTAACTTAGGAAACACCTATCACTTAGGGTGTTAAATTAAAGATATTTTTGAGTGTAAATAGAATTGAAACTTTTGAAAAAATGTATACAAAAAAGTGTGGAATAGGTATGATTTAGATATTGGGGTGCCTACTTCTACCCACCATGATTATCATGGCCTGATACCTCATGTACTAGGGATAAGCAAAAAAAAAAGATATTGGGTATTCACAAAAATAAAACCGAAGAAGCATTCAATATTCTCACTACTATCTTCAGACTTAAGAGTACTTACAAGTGACAATGCTTTAGAGTGAAATGGCATTTGGTCTTTGTGATTTATGAGCAAAAATTGATGCAAATTAAATGTCTTTAAAGAATAACAAAACAAGTCGGTCTTTAAGGCAACTTATCCTTATATCTATAAAAATGAAATCCAAATTCGATGTTTATTATCGCGTTGCGCAAAATCTACAGAATCAATCATTATGAAATTTCGTTTAACATATAGGCTATTCAAAAACACTAAAAAGGTTAATGGGCTTTTTTTGAAAAATGTTAAAACCAAAAAGCATTAGTTCCAGGCTTTTACCGCTTGGCGCCGCACTGGTTGCAACGATAAATGAATTTGATTAGCTAATAATTTTACATGTAGTTTGTATACACGATGAATGTTTTTTAAATTTTAAGATTATCCAATCGCCGTGAAACTTTAGGAAGTTATATGTAGTATATTTTGAGTTAGATAGTTCACAACCTTCTTCTAATATTTATTATAACCCCATATCTATATAAAAATATGTATCGAACTTGTAACAATGGAAGTGACAAATAAAACAAAGGAGTAAAGGTAGACCAGACGAACAGGTGTTTATGATAATGAGTTCAATCACCCCGTCAACAGGTGGCCGGACAGGTGGCGTGATTATGGGAGCCAATCAGAACTCGCCACCATATGCGGGCGTCCCATATAAAAGCCCCCCAAGATGGGACAAAAGTAGTTGTTTTCAGAGTGACGCCGTTATACGGTCGGACGGATCTCTCATCCCCCCCTTCTATCCGCGTAGGCTAGGGCATCCGTGACGCCCGTGGTTCGACTGCCTTCGTCCGTGGTCTACCTCTACTTCTTGGAGCTACCACCTAGACCTGCCTCTGTCTCTTGCTGTCCCCGTGCGGGAATCCCATCACGCACCAACTACCACGACTGCCCAGTACATTCCACATCGGCTTGCTCGGGATTACTACATATATATATTTACTATACTACTGGGAAGGTTTCTGGTTTGAATTTGATTTGAAATAAATATTCGTTGCAGTTTTATTTGCAAATTTTCTACTTTCACTCGCCAGAAGCGCCTCTTGCGATATCTGGTGAAATTACATTTGTATATTGTAAAAATGCTAGAAAGTGTTCCAAGTATAATATATTTATTATTTGAGGATTTAGTAATAAAATATTCCAATGACATTGTAAAAAATTTGGCATTTCAATATTAATATATATTCAACGAAAATATCTTTTAAAAATATCTATTTAAATTTTTAAAATATTATTAAAAAAATGTGTTTCAAAAATATATTTAAATGCATATAACAATATTTATATTTATATACACAGTAAAACCCCTCTATAGTGAACCCCAATGGGACAGAGCTTTTGGTTCACTATAGCCACGGTTTGGCCATTTTTTTAAACTTTTCTAAATTTTTAGACCGTATAATTAAAAAAACAGCCATACAAACAGGAAAAGGCAGTCACTTTATAATGGTCACTTTGTTTTAAATCCCTAAATTGACCTATTTCTTTACAGTAATGCTGAATATCAAAAGAAGTCATTTGATAATAGGTTCTTCTTATCATTAGCATACATGTTTATATATAAACCTATGTATTATTTAAAAATTAAGCCAAATTCTCTAGGCAAAACATTATTAATTATATATAAAAAGGTATAAGAGTATTATAGAACACCTTTCTCAAATAATATAATACTATATTTATTTGTAAAAATGCCTCTAATACCTTGTTGATTGAAAGTGAAAAGTGAATTTTGAAAATCAGAATTGTCTTAAATAATGGTTATTTCCATCAAAGGAATAAAGCTCTGTGTATTCTCAATCAATTGAGGATGAATCAAAAGTATCCAATTCAGAAAAATCGGACGTGAAACATGTTAATATGATAGCGCGATCGGTAAAATTGCGAATAAAAAACGCCAATTTGCAAACACAAATCGGTGGTAAAACGGCCGGCCAGGGGGAATATCCGCGAACCTGAATGAGTCATATACCTAACAAGAATTCCATTCTAAAAATAGAACTGTAGTGGTAGTTTTTGAGAATTTATAAGTCGATTTGTTTGTGGCCCATGAGACACGGGGAACTTGGGGAACTGTTTTTTTTTTTCTTCTTCTTCTTCCAATTCCAGTTTCTACATATTCTTCTGAAGTGTATATTAAATTTTGTTTTTAACCTGTTATTCAAACCATTTCTGGCTTTAAAATTATTTGGAATTATTTTTTAGCCTAGGTTAAACTTGATATATAACGCTTCTAAAATGGCATGCTGCCACTTTTTTTTTAGAAACTCTTTGTTTCTTTTCTTTATTTTGGAAGCCATTTGTATTTTTCTTCTATTTCAAAATTGTCAAATGCAAAGATATTCTATTAAATAAAAGTATAATGTTACGATGTACTAGAGCGCCATCTGTTATCAAATTATAAAACTATTTTTGAGGCGTATTATTCTTTTTAAAATAAAACAATTTCTACTGTCCTTACTGTGATGAACTCCCTTTAATTTTTTCATCACAGTAAGGACAGTAGAAATTGTTTTTTTTAAAAAGAATAATACGCCTCAAAAATAGTTTTATAAAAAGTATAATGTGTAAAAATTTATACAACATACAGCAAAAATAGAATGGAAATGAAAACAAACAATGCCGCTAATTTTTTGTTTTGAAATTGCGATCCGCGAGCTGAAACATGCTCAAAATTTTGTTGTATTAAAAATTTTTAATATCACAATTTTAAGTTCGTTATAAGCATAGTATTTTTAATAGATTTTTATCATTTTGGGACCGAAAATAGGTTTGTTATGGGATAGTTCGTTGAAAAATCGAAAAGTTCATTATAACGATGGTATTTTCAATAGAATGGAATTGTGAATCGCCGTGAGTTCGTTATAAGGGAAGGTTCGCTATATCCAGGGTTCGTATTAGCAGGGTTTTACTGTATAAATATACGTTTATAAATCTATATAGGTGGAATGGATGTTTTCTCAAATCGTTTTAACAAATGTTCGTTAGGCAAACTTTCACTCGGGTAAAAACAGTTTGTAAATACAGCTATTTACAAATGTTAGTTTGTGGCAAGATACTATTCCTTCAACTTCAAATTACCGAGTGGACCAATTAATATTGTTTATTCAACTTATCGAGTATTTTTGAAGAGACGGGAAAAAATTTTAAATTATCGAGAGTATAGACAAGTGTAGATTCAGTAGGGATTAGATGTTTGCTAGAATCGTTTTAACAAATGTTCATTAGGCAAACTTTTACTCGGGTAAAAACCGGGCGAAGCCGGGAACATATATATATATATATGAAAAACGAAAGAAAAAAATAAAAGATAAAAAGATCAGGTGTTGAAATCAATATTAAAAATGGCATATCCTGACCAGGAGCACCCTGATATTTAGCCAACCCAATCTTGATTTATCAAGAAATTGGGTTGGCCAAATATCAGGGAACAGGCAAAATCAATGTTTAGTTGATTTCTGTTCCACCAGATGGCGCTCTGCCTTCTGTAAAGCTCATGTGCTCCTGGTCAGGATTTGCCATTTTTAATATATATATATGTTTGTCAGCTATGCGCGCCTCAATATGTAACTAATCTCGCTGAAAATTGAACAGGACAGAGTTAAATCTGGAAGAGTTTTTTGATGCGCTTTAACCAAGAAAAATTATAATTAACCAGGTACTGAGCAACAATATTTTTTTAGTCAGAAATGATGATGGCAATATTGCTGCATCATGCTTGATTGATATCAAAATTCTTTAGGGGAATATTCACTTAAGTAGACCACGGGCGAAGCCAGATAATAATAATTAGTAGGCAGGAACAAAATTCAACTAGCGAAACATTCACTCGAGCAGAAGACACACGAAGCCAGGTCATCTATATATATAAAATATCGTTTCTCTGCCTTTTGGCTAAGATCATGTAGTATATCTCTAGATATTTTTATTTATATATATCTTTTTAAAAATCTATTCAGCAGAGAGAGTGGATATGTTTGCTCGAAAAATAAATTTTGTATATTATATATATAAATGAATATTATTATCATTATTACCATAATATTCTGTGTTCCGGAAAATTATTATCAATAATATTTGTTAGGCAAACTTTCACTCAGATAAAACCCGGGCGGAGCCAGGTAAACATCTGCTAGTACCTCATAGATTTTGGCCACATTATTGTTGTAATGATTATTTATCAAGTATAACTTTATCTAAATTCCAAATCTCTTTCCTTCAATAATGTCCATTATCATATAAATGGATTCAATTTGTTGAATTGATTCCTCATTAACCAGGGTTCAGCAACCACATTCTAAGTGAATCCACGTTAAGTCACAAATTACTCATTAAAAAATAGGGTAATTATTAAAAATGCATAGTAAAACTTTATCAAAAATGCTTTTCCAGGGACTTGAAGTATTAAAATATACAAGTATCAGAGTCATAATCAACAATCAATCAATTCTGTCACCGTTTGCTTTTGTGAATGGAATAAATACCCAAATATGGTCATTTCTTATAACCATCGGTGGTTCAGTGGTAGAATGCTCACCTACAACGCGGGCGGCCCGGGTTCGATTCCCGGCCGATGCATTTTTTTTTTACAATTTTTAAAACTCATTTTATATTAAAATATACAAGTATCAGAGTCATCAATTCTGTCATCGTTTGCTTTTGTGAATGGAATGCTTTTACGTAATATACGTAACTAATATGACTGAAATTTTAGCAGTATGTATAGTAGAATCTGGAAAAACTTATATTGAATATTTCAGGTCTCTATCCCGAATATTCTTCGAGTAATTTGCAAATTTGAGTTGCAAATTTGCTCTTTCGCTCGCAAGCAGCGCCTCTAGCAGTGAAGATGGGAGGTAATATCAGCTGACCTAATGTACATGTAAAACGTGTTTTAACAGGACATAGAAAAAATATGGAAGAGATATTTGTCGCATTTTTAGCCAAGAAAAATTGAAATTGACAGGTTCTGGGCAAAAATAGTTGTTTTTTTTAGTCAGAAATGATTATGATTATGACATATTGCTGAATCATATTTGATTATCAGATACAAAATTATATCCGGAAAAATTCCAAAAAGCAGAGACCACGGGTGAAGCCAGTTCATTTTTAGTATGCAGGAACAAAATTCTAACAGAAAACCATTCATTCGAGCAGAAGACACAAAGCCAGATCTCTTTATAAAAATATCGCTTCTCAGACACAAAGTTTGGAGCAGGACGTTTCACAAGAATGACATCCACAGCGCCAATTTATAATTGTAACGAATAGTATTTGAATAAAATCATTTAATCGGGTAAAACTCGGGCGTTGCCCGGGTCATTCGGCTAGTGCTCTATAAGCGGGATATCATTATATAGTAGATCAGAAAAGAATAAATGGAACACACAGAATTAGAATTAAAAAATGGTATGATCATTAAAATAGCAATGAAATTGGGGCATTGTAACAAAGGATCATTGTATACAACCTCTTCAATTTAACTCGCTTCAATTCAATTTCAATACTCGCTAATAAAACATATATATATATAATATAAAAAAAAATGCTTGTCGACTTCACTGTGATAAATAAAGTGCTTGTCCTGAGAATCCTCGGGAGTGGATGGGGTTTTGTATGTTTGGGCAGTCGTTATCGATCGGTGGATGAAAAATCGGCACACTATATCGATTAATGAATCACAAAACACCTCGGAATATTAATCATTGGCGGCTCGGGAGAGGAGATGGAAGGATTTTCGCGATTAAATTGGATTGAGATGACTCACATCTTGGACCTCGAGGCACTACTTTTAGAAGATGCACACACACGTCTTGACACACACGTTACACCGACCGAACTCCGGTAGCCCCACCCCCCCGGCTTGGGTCATGTGGGACCCTGCTTGACCTTTGATTGGTCCCTGTCTCTGTCGGCCATGATGGTTGGTCGGAAGGAGCTTTGCCTAACATCCCAATCTCTCAGGACATCAACTCTGGAATATGAGGGCCCTCTTTGTTCTAAGTGACCTAGATACACGACTTGGATCTGTCGTTCTTTTCTCTTTACTTCTTCCATCTCCACGTCCTTTGACTGCCATCTTTATTTGAATCCATACAGAATACATATATATCCAACATGGTACATAATTATTTATTAGACAATATTCTTTATAATATTACAGATGCGCCCCCTATGAATAAGAATTTTAAAAGGGATCTGTATATTAAATTCTGAAAAAAAGAAAAATAATTTTTTGGGAAAGAAAAAAAAATAAAAAATTTTTTAAAATAGTGAGTGGTTAGATACAATTGGGGAGAAAGTAAATGATGGAAATAAGTAAAAAAAAGAAAATTTGAGTAGTAGGGGTGCTTGCTAACTAGAAAAAATATGATAATTTTTGGAGAAAAAAAAAATCTTGCCTGCATAGGTGTTCAATCTTGCTGTGTGGAAACCCACAGCAAGGGAAACTCTATGAGGTGCAATCCAAACAAAACATATAAGACATTAACAGAAATAAAAAGAAAACTATAGACAATAAATTTTGGTGATGGAGGGAAAAAAAAAAGAAAAAAGAAATCTGATTAGCCTTTGGGCGGTGAAAAATATAAACAAAACATAAAAAAAGAAATCAAAGCTCCTGTATGATAACTGAAGGCTGATACATGAGAAGTATTGCGTCAGGTCAGTTGTTCATTCAGTTAGGACAAAACAAGGTTTAAACAATAAAAGGAAAAAATAAACTTGAGGTGATTAAGAAATTGAAAGGGTGATAGACATGGATGGTGGGAATAAAAAAAATAAAAATAAAAAAAAAAATAAAAGTGCTGGTTGTGTACAAGTCCTTTAAAATTGGTTAACAAAAATATACACAAAAGAAGAATATTTTTTTACTAACAATGTCCAATCTTTGTTTATTATAGGGTCGTAGGTCATAAGGTTGCCAAAACTATATAGGTGCGTGAATGTATGCGAGTGTGTGTGAGTGTATGTTCCAGAAAGTAACTTTAAGTGTGTGACACGCGAAAAGTGACGGCGGGTTTGTTTACATTCCGCAGGGAGGATGTGACGTCGGTCACGTGATCGGAAAGGACGTGACGTCGGCGCGGCGGAAGGTTTCTGTAAAGTGACGCCAGCTGACAGCGGGTGATCGACGAGTGTTTGTAAAGGTGGGGAGATTGCTATTCGACTTGGCGCGCTCTAAAGAGGGTTTGGAAAATCTCTCCTATGATTTCACCTATTAGAGCGACCAAGGCATGACTGTGGACAAGGATGGT